TATAGTTTACTTTTGAAATAGGTGTTTATAAGTGCGCACACACAACACACACACGCACACGCACATGTACAAATAATAACTCATAAAATGATCTCTTACATAGTAACGAATATGTGATTATTGTGATCCATAACATTTTGCCCGATATAATTGGAAATAAACATGTATAAAATACTTCCTATTATGAATACAATAGGAAACATAAATTCATTGATGTTATCATAAGATGTACTAATCTGAAAAATCTAATATATATGATATTTCGCCGATATACTGACAATAAGTTATATGCATTTATATTGTTGCAATCTGCTTTATTTTACTAAATGTGTCAAGTTTAAATAATGCTAAAGAGTATGCTAAGTTGTTTAATTATTAGAACAATTAAAATGACGAGTAATATTTAGAAAATAAAATTTATACGCGTTTTTAATCTAAAAAATTGGAAACATTATTCTCTCTTAGCACAGAATTATGAAATATTTAAATTTATTTCTCACAAGGGAACACACAGAAATGTCCTCTTCCGATTTTAATGAGATATGTTAAAATATAGACAAAAATAAGATACTAACAATTTTTTATACGTGCTGAATCGTACGTGGGGGTGATGTGATATCCAGCCTTGAAAAAAATTCATTTTTTTCTTTCTGAGTAAATATCATATAAACCGTCAAAGATATGAAAAAGTGTTTTAAACAAAAATTTTACGACTTCAAGTGTGTTTTACAATGGCGCATTTTAATTTTTGAAAATTAAGGGTGGGAAGTGGAGGGTAGTAAAAAATATGATTTTTTTACTTGAAGTCGTAAAACTTTTGTTTAAAACATTTTTTTTATTTTCAACGGTTTACATGATTTTTACTCAGAAAGAAAAAAAAAACATTTTTTTCAAGGCTGGATATCACCTCCCTAACGTGCGACTCAGCACGTATAAAAAATAACGAATACCTTATTTTTGTCTGTATTTTAATATATCCGAAGCTTATTTAAATCAGAGGGAAATACTTCCGTGTGTTCTCTTGTTAGAATCCAAGACTTACTCGGAAGAGATTGAAACTCAAAGATATAACTCCAACTGTTATTAAGCAGAACAGCATTATCTCAAATTTCGATACCAACAGTTCAGACAATCTTCAAGCATAAATAAATATTATTGTATAATTTCTATAGGTATGATGTTATATAGATACTAACTTCATAGCGTGCCGATGAATATCAATGGCATGTATTATTCCTTTAAATATCAAATGTTCATGCTTTAAAGTAATATTTTGTAATATATTGATTCTCATTACGCGTTCAATGCGATAACTATAAAGAATGTTCATTTATTTATCTTCAGAAAAAAAATTTACTTTTAGAAAGTTAAAGAAATATTTGTTTATCAAATAGATATTTCTTTAGCTTTCTAAAAATAAATTTTATCGTTGGATTTATCCAATATTTATACAATTTTGTTTATAATCAGAACTTTTGCGAGAGGCTTTCTCTATGTCCGTTTTATACCATGAGATGCTGAGCATTCCGCAGGTATGTTGAAGATATGATATAAGCATCGTTCCTACAGCTAACATCGCGGTACATCCTATGCAAAAGGCCGCAATTGTGTGCAAAACGATTAAGTAAAAATGTTTTTCTTGATCAATAAAATATTCCGTTGTAATAAGTAAATAACGAGATTGAGATATGTTCCTCGATAAAATAACACCGACGATACTTGACCAAAATTGAACGACAATGAAACCAGATGCGCAACAGGCGGCAAATACTACAAAGAGTTAGAAAGGAATTGTTATACAAATTTCTGCGTATAAAAATATTCAATTGCTTTTCGTTATGTGTGTTAAATAGAAACCGTACTGTATTATAGTAAAAAATAAAAAATTTATCTTACTTGTAAGGATAACTGTGTACAATTTTGCATTGTAGCTATACTTTTCTATAATAACATACTCATATTCATCTTTTAGATTGTTGTATATATTTTGAAGTTGCGCTGTCTCTTATACACA